TTATTTGCTTTCTCTGCCTAGCATTTCAGTTGTTTTTAATCATTTCCTGTATATTTCAATTTCTTCACACCTAGTTCAGATTTTTCATATGTAAAACATTTCTTGATTCCCAAAAAGTTATTTTCTCTTCCCGTGACCTTTGCCAATACCACTGTGAGACTGAGACCAAAATTTAGGCTAATTTTGTATGTGTCTGTTGGTCCTGTAGTCCGTGAGTCCTTTAAAAATCAAACTTGAGTCATTCATCTTTATGGCTCCTGTACTTACCTGAATCTGGTACAGTAATGGTCTACTAGAGGATAAATGCGACTAAAATTTGTAATTGGGTAACATTTCCTCCAAGTATGTATATTTTATAAATTTCATATCTATAAAGAGAATGGTTTTTAAATTTAAAAAATTTATTTTCATTGCTATTGAGAGAAACTTTCTAAAATGCAATATGAATCTGATTAGACTACAAAAGATTAAAGACTTATTTTAGTAATTCGATGTACAAAGTACTTCTTACTATAACTAGTATACAGAGATGCTTGAATTTGTTAAGTTGTGATGTGGAAAAAACTGAATGGGTGGATATTATACTTAACTTGTATGTTTTCTATGCTTTCCAAGGAAGTAAGAAAGGTTAAATTAAAATTCATATTTTTCTGAGGGGAAAGAAGCAGTATTCTTTTGTCTAAAATGCTTCTTTTTAAATATAACATTTAAAATTTTAAAATTATATTTAATTTTGATTTGATCTGAACACATATGCATATATGAAATTCTTGATTAAAAAGTTCAAGTCATAAAAAAAGAAATGAAATTCTGATTCATACTACGGCACGGGAAACCCTCAAAATTATTATGGTAAGTTAAAAACCAGTCTTAAAAGGTCACATGTTGCATGATTTGATTCCCTTTGTATAACATGTCAAGAATAAGCAAATGTATGGTAACCAAAAGTCAGTTACTATTGCCTAAGCATGAGATAGAAGTGCAGTTGTAGAGCCATAGGTAAGGTGTATCAATTAAAAAATATATTTTAAAATGTATTTTTATTTTATGTATATTAGTGTACTTCTTGCATGTATGTAGGTGTGCCCATGTTGTGCCTTGTCAGCGGAGATCAGAAGAAGATGTCAAATTCCCCTGAAACTGGAGTTATGGATGGTTGGTTGTTAGCCGCCATGTGGGTGTTGGGAATTGAACTTGAACCCTGGTCCTGTGTAGAGCAGTCAGTGCTCTTAACCACTGACCCATCACTCCAGTCCCTAGGGTACTGATTCTTTTAAAAAATTCTTTTCCCTTCTGGGCATGGTGGCGCGCATCTTTGATCCCAGCACTTGGGAGGCAGAGGCAGGTGGATCTCTGTGAGTGCAAGGCCAGCCTGGTCTACATAGTGAGTTCCAGGCCAGCTGAGGCTACAGGAAGACCCTGCCTCAAAAAGACCAAAAAAAAAAAATATTTTCCCTTCTTGTTAGTGAAAATGTTCCAATAGTCGTTGAGTGATGGATGCCAAACTGTGTGAATGTACTAAAAACCATTGTATAGTACATTTAATGAATGAACTTTGTGGTATTCTCAATAAAGTTGTTTTGAAGAAAAAAATATTTAAATAAAACATAAATATATCATTCCTCAGTTATTTTTTTCATATTTCACTTTTTAAATAATCACCACATTAGGGCTTGAGAGATGGCTCCACGGTTAAGAACTCTGCTCTTGCAGAGGACCCAGATTTAATTCCCAGCATCCACATGGAGGCTATGAACCATCCTTAACTCTAGTTTCAGGGGAATCCTATGCCCTCTTCTGACCTCCACAGCATTGCATGACACAGTGCACTTGCATATATGCAGGCAATATACTTATACACATAAAATTAAAGAGAAGGAAACATAGCATCATTGAATTGGTTCTTGTAAGATTTTATTTTTTCATTACTGTTTTTGTTTTCAAGTAGTCTAAGGGATTGTCCTCATGGTGCTAAAATATTTATGATTTATTAAATAACTGTATTAGGTATTTTGTCACAGCAACAAGAAAAGTAACCAATACAAGTAACTTAAAGGAAGTATGTATTTTGGCTCACAGTTTGAAGGCATGGGGAAGCTTAATACAGCTAGTCACATTGCATCCTCAGTCATTGAATACTGACTCTGACTCCATTGTTTTCTCTCTAATGTTGAGTCTGGACCCCTGGTCCATGGGATGGTGTCACCCACACTCAGAGTATGTCTGCTTTCCTCAAACTTTTCTGGAAACATTCTCACAGACCTACCTAGAGGTCTGATTCTATTCTTGATCTTAGCCTAAAGGCCAGTGAGTGATTCCTCTTAAGCCATTCTAAATCTGTCTATATTGATTGTGAAGATTAACCATCACAAATCTATCCTTTGTTAATCTGGCAACCAACCACATCATTTTAAACCATAACATTCTATTCCTGGTATTCAAAGACTCATGGCCATCTCAAACACTAAAGTTCGTCTGTAAGAGCCCCCAGAATCTTAATAATTCTAGCGTTGTTCAAATGCCTGAAGTCCAGTGTCTCTTCTGAGACTCAAGGTAATTCCTTAATTGTGAGACCCTATTAAAAAAATCTTATTTTCTTCCAATAAACAATGGTACATAGTAAACATATCCACTCCAAAAGAGGGATAGAGGCTATGAAAGGAAAGACTGGACCAAAGCATGAAGGAAATCAAGCAGGGAACATATCAAATCCTACAGTTCCATATCCAGCTTATGGGAGTTGTGATGGCATCATCTGTTCAGGAGTCTTAACCAGCCCTGCTGTTTCCATTCCACCACCTACAGTATCCACAGCCTCTCTCTTGTGCTGGCTCCAGTCTGTGCCTTCAGCTTTCCCTAGTGGACATCCAACGTACTGCTATCTTCAGGCAGCTTAGACTTTACCTCCTCGGCTTCATGCAACAGTGTTTCAGGGCCTCCTTGTAGGGAATCCAACCTTGTCACACTTCCTCAGCTGCAGTGGCCTTTGGAACATTGTTACAAGCTACCATGATCCCCTTGGAAAACACTTTCCTAAGTGATTGTTTACAAGCAGGGAATCCCTTCGGCAGGGGAAGCTTTCAGTGGTATTTCTAGTTCAGGCTCTTTTTGCTGAAAAGAAATTTGCATTTTGAAAAGTTGGAGCCTTTCATAGGTGAGGGGGCTTGTTTCAAGGCATCTTTCCTATCATCCTAGCAAAGAACATGTTTTCTCTTGAATGCACTAGTCTCATTACAGCTATTTTGTCTACATCAATGCTATCTTCATCTTTAAATGCATTCAAGTTCCTTTCCTTGCTAAACTGCACATTTTTTATGTTTCTACTGTGAATTCTCATTATGTCTCAGTAAATATAGTGAACAAATACCATGCCACAGCCTGAGTGTTTTACTGTCTTGAAATTTGCTCTACCAAATAACTACTTTCAGCCTCAGTCAAGTTTTCAGGATAAGGTCAGACTATAACCTGACTCTTTGCCAGTCTGTAACATGAAGAGCCTCCAGCCCAGTTCCTGATAGTCCCTGTTTTCTCAGAAACTTCCTGTAGTGTCTGCATTTCCAGAGGCATTCTGGTCTTCTGAGATCTGAGCAGAAAGGCCAGTCAGCTCTGCTTATAGCTTTCTTAGGCTTCTCTAGCCCAAGATATGTGCATCTCATACATGATACTAAATCTGGTCAAGTTGGCAATGAATATTAACCATCAATAATTAATTACAGTTCGCCATTCAATGCTAGGTGCAGTAGGAAATACAGAGCAGTATAAATGTAGACAGTGATGAAGCTGGGAATCGGGGGGAAAAGTAGAAAAATGATTCATTTAAAGATTCAGTTGTATATGTTGCATCAATTCAAAAAAGGAAAAGATTTTGTGTGTCTATTTGGCTCAGATGGAAAAATGAAGCTAGGTTTTAAGGATAGGTAAATGTTCCCTGGGTAGAGGGGTGGAAGCCATTAGACAGGAAAGAAGCAGAATGAAAGGCTCAGAGGAGCCATCTGAGGTGCAGAGTGATGTACTCTATCCTGAGAACTTCGTAACGATTTATCTCATCCAAGAAGATAAACGATACTCTTGATTTGATAGTACTACTAACTGAGCTGAATGAAGGCAAATTAAATTTTCCTTATCATGTCTTTCAGTATTTATTCATTGTATATAGCACTGGGCTTCATAGAGACATTTTCACATAATACCATCTCTCTCTCCTCTCTCTCCCGCTCTCTCTTTAGTCTCCTTCATTTCCCATAGACAGTTTCTTCTACTTTTATGTCATACATACAGAAATGATTTCATATAGCTGTATTAAAATCTAGGATCTACAAATGATGAAAAAGCATATTATTTGTCTTTCTGAATCTGAATTCACTGAATAGTCTCAAGTTGCATCAGTTTGCTTGCAAAGCCCATAATTGTATTCTTTTGGGCTGAATAAAATGCCATTGTGTGTGTTTATTTATCCTGTTTTCTTTGTGCATTCCTATTGATGGACACCTAGGTTGCTTCCATAATGTGGCTATTGTGATAGTGCTGCGGTAGATCTCAATGAGAAAGTATCTCCAAGATGTGTTGACTTAAGACTCCTTTGAGTAAATACACAACGATGGCATAGCTGGGTCATATGAAAGATCTGTTATGTTTCTTGAGGAACTTCCATATTGACTTTCATAGCTCCTGGATTTGTTTACATTTCTACCCACCAGATATAAGGAGCCTTTTTTCCACCTTTACCAGCATTTGTTTTCTTAATGAATGCCATTCTGACTAGGGTAAGATGGAGCTCAGTGTAGTTTTAGATATGTCCCTGATGGCTAGTGATGGTGAACATTTTTCATGTATTCATTGGCCGTTTGTATTTTGTTTCACTTTATTACCTATATTATCTCTTTGTTATAGTTTCTTTTTCTGGATGTTACAGTCTCAAGTTTGGGTTTTAAACAAAATTAGATTATTCTAGAAAGCTGCTTTTAAAATATTTTATGTTCTGTACTTTATTTGTATTTTAGGAGGAAACCAAAAGCCAAGGCACCGCTTCCTCCTGCTGAGACCAAATGCCCGGATGTCTGTCCTGCTGATGAGTCAGTAGAGCCGCCTGCTGCCATCATGGAGCAGAATGAAAACATGGTAGACAAAGACATTGAGCTCTCAGTAGTCCTACCCGGAGATATTGTCAAATCTACCACTGTTCATGGCAGGTATGCGGCAGGGCTGAAGTATCAGGCCTCTCTTTCTCCCTCCACCCTGAAACCCTTTGTCACATGTCTTCATTTTTTTTTCCTTTGGTAAAATACTTCATTACTGAGTTCTTACCTATTTTTTTAAAAAGCAAATATTAGAATGCTCTTAAATCTTTCCAGGCAATGTTCTAATATTAAGGGCATGAATTCTACAAAATCAACCCAATGGTTCTTAAGATTTGAAATTATTTCATAGCGTGCTATGTATTTAATAAGTTTGAAAGTAAGCCTTTCCTAAAGGAATGACCCTCACTAGTACTGAGTCTATAACTCCAGCCTCCAAAGCCAGTCGTGATGTACCAGAGTCTTCCCCTCTCTTGTTACTCTTTCTACTTTGAGCTGTTGCTTTGATTTAGAAGTTAAGTCTCTTAAATGGTAATGTTTTCTTATTTACCAAAGCAAATAAATCTACCTGCACTATTAGGATTTGTTTTACTTTATTGATTTAATTTAATTAATTAAAAATGTGGATGTGTTAAAAAGAAATATTAAAAGCAAACTTTAACCAGCAAGGAGTAAAGATGTGATTTAGGAAACTGATAGTTTTAAATATTTGCATAAAAGTTGAGAAAATGGAACAAAGCCAAATGGAATTTTCCATTTCATCCTGAAATGGAAAGTTACATGAACTGTCACTGGATCTTGTTCCACACCTTTTTACATTCGGCGGAGTATTGTTATCCAAGAGTATGTGTTAGAAATTGAAGCTGTTTGACCTTAGTACGGTGTCTGTGGTGTGTGTGTGTGTGTGTGTGTGTGAAAGAGAGAGAGAGAGAGAGAGAGATAAGCAATACCACGATTATTTAATTCTTATAATCTGACTTTGTGTAGAAAACTCGTTACTCATTTAAGATAAACTCAACTTAAAGTTTATCAAAATCAAATGTGACTTTAAATTTTTTTTAAATTGATGAGAATAAACAGTTCACCTTTAGCCAATAATGCTTAGAATTATGTGTTAAATTATCATTAAGTCTCAATAAGTCACATTTTGTCATTTGCTTTTAGTGAAAGTTGTTTTTAAGGATGATTCATTCAACCCTGTTTATGAGGTTGGATGCTCTCGTGGGCTCCTGCCTGCACCTCCATTAGCCTCTTTTGAGACAGTGACCATCACCTCAGTGCCTGCCTGAGATACTGTCATACCTGGCTTTAGAATAGCAGTAATAAAAGCGATTCAGAGCAACTCAGTTTCCCTAGTTTTCCCTGAGGGTAACAGGGAACCTGCATCCATAGTCGTCTCGCTCTGTCCCAAGAACCATGGTGGGATCTCATCACAAAGGTGCCCTATTCTGAGATAGCAGAGCCATAAGTATCTAACTTATCTACTTTCAGTCTCTTGACTTAGTTTCTTCCTGAGTCTCATCTATGACTCTTTATGTTGCTATATTTCCTTCATGTACACATTTTCTTTTGATCTCATTTTTCTTCATTTCTAACTTAAAGGATCTGCATTGGTCATTTTTAACTGCGTGCATTCTTGACAGGACCCTGTTTTCTCACACTCTTTGCCTTCCAGCTGTTTTGCTTCCTCAGCCCGTAAACCTGGGTAATTTTCCATCCATCATTATTTTTGTGTATGTGAGCTTAGCTCTTGTTGAATTGCTGCTGTTTGCTTATCTATGAAAATGTATTATGCACAAATCGCTGGGATTAAACAACACTGATTATTACTGGGATTAATGAAACACTATCACTGCTTGGCATACACTGGTTTCCTCTACTTTTTTTGGGGGGTAGGGGAGAGATTCTGAGGTTCAAATTCAAGGTCTGGTGGATGCTAGGCAAGTGCTGTATCACTAAGCCATACCTCTGAGCCCTTTTCTTTTGGGAACTGATTTCCTTCAACCCAGCCTGTTTCATCCACAGATTAATCTGACCAAAGCACCTCCCAGTTTGTGCTGCCTTTGCTAAAAGGCCACTGGGCTGGCAATTTAATACTAAAGGAAGTTCAAATTACCAAGTGTGGAGATTGGAATGTGTTCATTTCACCTCTGAAATTAAGTAGGCTTTTACTACTTTCTTAAGCTTTACCACATGATTTGTTGTTCTTCTACAGATACTTTTTTTTTTTACCTTAATCCCTTTATAAACACTACTCTCTACCCCCTGCAGGACTTATGACTGTCAGTTCCTCCATTTAGCTTACATGGACTTAAATTTGACATTTTTTATATAAAGACTTCTGGTCCCTCCAGAACCATCTGTTTCCTCTGGCTTCAAACTCTTCTGAATTTCTGAAACAGTACATATTGCTGCATGCTGTGGTTTATATGTACTTATTTTCTTAATGTATTTATCATCCTATTTTTTTAAGATTTATTTTTAATCATGTATGTATGTGTGTGTGTACATGTGAGTGTATGGATGGATGGGTATGTGCACATGAGTGCAGGTGCACATTTAGGCCAGAAGAGGGTGTCAGAGCTCCTAGAGGTAGAGTTACTGGTCATGTGAGCTGCCTGATCTTGGAACTGGGAACTGAACTTGGGTTCTTTGGAAGAGCAGTAAGTGCTCTTCACCACTGAGCCATCACTCTAGCCCTGCGTTTTTCTTTTTGAGCAAACCATAAAAGCAATGAGATCATCATTCCTTCTCTTCATAGTATGTAGCGTTTTGCAATGTATTAGGAATTTGACAAGTTCATTAAAATAGATGTTATCTCTCTGAACCATGTGTGGGTAGATGTAACAGCAGCTTAAATGGTGTGCTTTGAAGATGTATTTGGAATGAACTCTAGTTGCTTTCCCAGAATCCTTTAAGGAAATTTTTTTTTTATATAGGTAGAGAGCAAGATAGGAATGCCCTCAAATAGAAATATCTTTAATTAAAAAAATGTTTAGGGTTTAAGCTTTTGGAAATATAAATTATTGATCTCAGGGTTTGATTTAGGAACTTGTTTCTAGTAATTTTATTACCTAAGAGCTACCTGTACATTGTTAATTTCTATAGACCTTACAATTAGATGATGAATTTTTATATGAAGTGTTCATGATATAAAGCCATTGTATGATTCTGAATATCTTGGGTATGACGCTGGGATGTCTTCAGGGAATGCATTTGTAGCTATTTCAGAATGTAGGCTGGGCTTTTACAAATACGACTTTGAATACCTTGGGAGTGTGATATGGGAAGTCTTGCGAGTGTGATTACAGCTCTCTCAGAAGTTCCAGCTGCTGATCAACCATTATTAAAGTGTTAATAAACACAAAATAAAAGTTCAGATTGAAAAATATATTCTACTTCTCAAAAAGTATCATGGGAAGAGTTACAATAACAAAAATAAGTTTCTTATGAACTTGCAACTTTTAAAGGGAAAATTTTCTACAGAATGACACAAGAATTTGGTGAGGGACTTGGAAAGTTTTAAGGGAGTTCAAGGGCATGAGGATTTTTTTTAGAGTACCAAAGGATTTGTAATATATATTTTTGAGACTGTCTTTTCTGAATTTGTCTAAATGTTCCTTTAATATTTATTTAATTATTTTACTTTATTTTTTTGAGACAGGGTCTCCCTGTAGCCCCAGCTGGCCTGGAATTCACTATGCCTGCCTCTGCCTCCCAGTTGCTGGGATTATAGGCATCATTACCATACCTGGCCTAACTACTTTAATATTTATTTTGATGATAGTATTTATAATGCATTTTAGTGAAAAGCGGTACCAACGTTCAACTGAAATACATTTGTAGAAAAGTGTGTGCTTCACTTTTCAGAAGCATTTTCCCCAAAATTCACCCTGAGGGCAGATGTTAAAGACACTGTCCTGTGTCATGTCATACTTCTAATGCAGAGTTTAGCCTAGAATGTTCTATTCATGGACATGGGCATACGCAGCTTTATCTTCAGAAGAGTACTCTTGTGTGTGCACAACTTTTCCCCAGAGCTTATTCTGTTGGGGAATGCAGAGGGTTGAGGGCAGCAGTAGGCCATGCACAGGGGAGAGCTGAAATCACGTTATCCTGAAATAGCATGACAGGCTGCGGCTAGTACCAGATGACTCAAGCAGTTTGTGTATACCACCTCATCCTTTGATTATATCGATAGTAGCTGCAGTGCTAATCTGAAAACTCTGGGCACTTCTGTCTACAATAATAGCATGGGTAATTGAAGGAGAAAGGAATGAAAATATCTTTATATAACAGGTAATGTGCATGTTACCTGTATACAGTGTGTATGTGTGTGAGTGATTGTACTGGTGAGTCACTGTTTTTCCTGGAGCAGCCCTTTGCTGTGTTAAAGTAAACATTAGTAACTCTTACTGTTAGAAGCAAGCTGCCTAGAAGCCGTCCTTCTTAGGGCATGATTGTGGTCTCTGCCTATGATCCTCCTGTCTCAGCCTTCTGGGTGCTAGGCTTATAGACCTTCAATACCATGCATAGCAGGAAAAGTTGATTTTTTAATGAAAAGGAGTGTACAGTCTAAATTGTCACACACACTGTATGGAAACAGGGGTATGTTTGTTGTTCCTCAGCATCAGGTGTCTGTAAATACTGCTTACTAAGTACATTTTAGTTCTTTTCCTCCTCTTTTGTGTTTTTCACCAGGTTATGCCTTTAAACCAAAATGTCCAATTTGGGAGATTTGATAAAAGCTTGTTATCCTCCTTTTTTTTTTTTTTTGGTCTTTTTGAGATGGTCTCCCTTTAGCCCCAGCTGTCCTGGAACTCACTATGTAGACCAGGCTGGCCTCGAACTCACAGAGATCTGCCTGCCTGTGCCTCGGGAGTGCTGGGATTAAAGGCATGCCCCGCCACCACGCCCCGCTTCTTAATGTACTAGGAAAACATCCTGTGCTACATTATCATACTCTTCTACAAAAGAGAGGAAGAAAAGACTATCATTCACAACAGAGAGAGGAATTTTTCTTTTATCATAAATAAGAATGTATTTTAATGTGGGCAAGTCTTAGGAGGTCATGAATGAAAACACAAGACTGATGGAACTTGAAACTAGATGTC